GAGACGGGACACCAGCGGGACACCGCGCGCCACCGGCCCCCGGTCAGGAATCATTTGGTCCGGCCGCGCCTCAGCTGGAGGAGACTTTTTTCTCGCCCGCCCACGCAGCTTCGCCTCGCCCGCACGCACGGCACGCACGAACACGAAACCGAAACCGATTTCCTGGTAGGGGGCCTCTCCATTCCACTTCGATCTCACCCCCTCACCTCCGATATCGAAGCGGACATTGTTCTTTCGGACATTTGCGAGTAGGCACTTTGCGAGTAGTGGAACGCGCTCGGTGACGTTCCTGAGAAGCAGGCACAGGCTCAAAACAGAAGGGCAGGCCTGAGCTGGATCGAATCGCGAGGGCGGATCGGACCCGAAGCACGTTGGATCACCAAGAAATCGTCGCGAATATCAAATCGCAATCGAAGCGCCGCGATCGGCTCTGGCTGGCCCTGGCCGATGCCGGTGAATCGAACCGAACCGAATCGAATCGAATCGAAATCGCGGCCCCCGCTGGCGAGTGGAATCGCATCGAATTGGATCGTAGGCGGCCCTGGAAGGGATAAAGTCGCCAGCCCCCGTTGCGGGGGCCATCAGGCTGCGAGGCACAGGGTTCAGCAGCTGAGCAACTCTGGTATCATTACCGCATTGAGGCAGTTCGCAACGCTGAAGTATAACTCAGCAACTTGGTGACCGAGAGTTGCAAGTCCCAGTTCTCAGAGCACAAAGCAGCTCCGTTTCTCAGGAAGTGAGGTTCTAAGTTTCTGAGAACAAGCGCAACCCTCCACGCCCGAAAACGCACCTTCGCCCCCGAACCACGCTCTCTCAGCTCAGGAGTCCTCTGGGACACATAAAATTCCAATGGATCCGCGCATTCGACGACGATCCCTCATAAAAACGCAATGGCTTCGCGACTTCGAGTCCACGATCCCTCGTGAAGAAACTAGGGATCCACCCCTTTGAGGCCAATCCGTCGTTGGAGTACGATGGGTCCACGTCTTCAAGGCCACGATCCTTCGTGGAAGAACTATGGATCTGCGCCTGCAAGGCCACGATTCCTTGCAAAACACGACTGGTCCTCGCTCCGAACCCGCCAGCCGCTTGAGGGCGATCTGATTCGATGATTGGAGACGAAGGCGCCCAAAATATGTTCGACGAAAAAAGGAAGACAAAAACGGCGCGCAAACTTCTTGAGGGGCGCGCGGATTTCTTGGGCTGGCGCCAGACCTCCCCCCCAACCGACCTGGCGGCATCTGAGACGTCATCCCCCCTGGCGCGCGGCGAGGGGGGTCCAGTGCCGAAACAAGAAATCCGCGCAGGAGCAGATGATGGAAGGTCTTCCAAAAAGTCGAGAACGAGACACCTTTTCTGAGCCTCCCGAGGCCTCCAGGGACATCTGGGGAAAGAGGAGCGAATTACGAGGAAGAGTTACCTGAAGGTCTTTGAAAAGTCTTAGAAGTATTCGGAGAAGAAGGTCCTTCGGAGTGGGAGATTCCCAAGCAGAAGTAGGAAGAGAAGGAGGAGCAGGAGGAGGAAAAATCTACCTTCCAGGCGTCTGATATTTCGTGGATCAACTCTGAACGACCGCCGCTTTTCGATAATCAACGCAGATCGTTCGACATCGGCGGCTGCCAAGCCAATGGTGACGTTCAATCTGGAACGCCCGCGCTGGGGTCGCCGCCGCGTCAACGCGGCGTGAATCTACCGTAGGAGGCGCAGCTTACGAGTGGTTCATCGGACGCCTTGGAAATCCTCCTCCTCACTCCTCCATGGTCAGCGTGGGTACTGCAAGTACTGCCATGCCCTCCTCAAGCTCCTCCTCCTCCTCCTCCTCCTCATTCTCCTGCTCCTCCTCCTCCTCCTCCTCCTCCTCCTCCTCCTCCTCCTGGTCCTCCTCCTCCTCCTCCTCCTCCTTCTCCTCCTCCTCGTCCTCCTCCTCCTCGTCCTCTGCGCCTGCGCAGGGCCGCCTCTCGGCCACAGCTGAGCTCGCCTCGGAATCCGGGTCAGAATGCGCTCAGGGAGGGGTCCGGGGCGGCATGGGCAGGAGGAAGATATTACCAAAAGTTGTCGTAAGGTTTCGTTTATTTTCCGTCCAACCCCCCAACCCACCACCCCGACACACACACACACACACACACACACACACGCGCGCGCGCGCGCACGCTCGCACGCACGCACGCACGCACGCACGCACGCACGCACGCACGCACGCACGCACGCACCCACACCCACACACACACACACACACACACACACACACGTCTGAAGTCTCAGCCTCGCCCTGGCTCCACAGGAAACCCACCAAGAAAGATGTGATGTCGAAGCCGAGCGAAAACGAAGAGCGGAAGGAGAGCAGAGAAGACGGCAAGAGGCGGCAACGCGCGGCCCACTCCAACGCTCAGGACGGAGGCATTCGGAGGCTTGTCGGAAGACGACGGAAACTTACGCTGGCACTATTGGAGATTTGAGGGCAGCTTCGAGAGAATCGTTCTTTCGAAACGATTTCGAGGTGTCTCCACTCTGGCACACGGCGGGTAAATTGAAAACGATACTGACCAGCGAGCAGGAGGCAGATGTTGTTCGCAGGCGGGACGAGCTTGCGCGCCGCCCCCTTCAGGGCGAGGTGGGCGAGGTGCTCGGCGCTGTTAAACGCCCTGAAGAGCAGGGGAATGTCGCGCACACGGTAACGGATGGCGCCAATATCGACGGCGCAAGATCGGGCAAGTCCTTTCCCTTCGGCCCCCAGGGGCCGTCGAGCGTTGGAGGGGAGGGTCGGGCCCGAGAGCGATCCCGAAAACGACGATTTCGCCGCCCTCAATCAGCCCCGCGCAGATCACGCGCGAATAGGGGTCGACGAGGAGGACGAAGAGAGAAATGGGATCATCCAGGGATCGAAATTCATACGAATAGCCACCCAGACACGGAGAGACGCGCGCACGTGCAGAGACCGGGAGAAGCAAAGTGGGGCACAGCGCTTCTCGCAGCTTGGTGGCAGCTGTGCTCTCGCTGATCCCCCTGCCCCCTGGGCTGCCCACCCTTGCCGTCGCCTCCGAGACGATTCGGGGGAAAAGCAGGAAGAAGAGGGGGAGTGAGGACGCGGACGAGTAGGCGCGAGCATGGCTTGTGGAGGCGGGGAGTCACCGACGACCCTACCGAGCCACTGAGGGCCACTGGGAGGCGAAACAGCACCACACAGAGGCTCCCACGATTGCACACCTAACCCATGGGCCGCCCACCCTCTCCGTCGCTTCAGCGGGAGGTCGGAGGGCGCCGCGACGGCGAGGGGTCGTCAGACGCCGACCAGCCCGCTGGGCCTGTGCGCCAACCCCGTGCGGGCCTGACCAGGACAGGCGTTGGCGTGCGGCTGGCGCTCCTCGACTCCTCCACGGGCGGAGGGCACGTCCAGACACGTGCCCTCGCAGCCCGGGCACCGAGGCGAGCTCCCACGGAAGCGTGCTTCCGTGGACCCTGAGATCCGACGTTGCAAAAAAAAAAATGCAACATCGCAAAACAATCACGCCCGAAACCCTGGACCCCATCTTTCTGCGTCATTCTTCGAGCCGGATCGATCTGTGAGGGCCCCAGGGCCCGAAATCGAACAAAACGCCTGTTGTGAAACATGATCGACCCACGAACCCGGAAAGGAATATAGAAATGTAAGACATGGCAACGTTTCAAAGACACCTGATTGGGCGACGGGCAAATGCAATGCTGAATGTATCGATCTTGATGTACCATGCCGAGGGCTGTGCTGTGCTGCGCCGTGCTGAACTGCGATGTGCCATGCCGCTATTGTGCTCTATAGCGTTGTGGATCGAGTCCTCCTTTGCATCCGAGTCCTGACCGATCTGATCTGGGTCGTAAGCTCGAGCTGCCTCAGCATATAGTAGCTGCCCTCGAGCTGATTGGCAAGGAGACATGCTAGGAAGACACGCCGCGGAACGTCCCAAGGGACGCGCCAGGCGACGTGCCAGGGAACGTGCCATGGGGACGAACCGCAGAGGTGCCAAGGGGACGCGCTACGGAACGTGCCAATGGACGTGCCACGGCACGTGCCACGGGACGCGCCGCGCGACGTGCCAGGGGAACTCGCCACGGGACGCGCCACGGAACGTGCCAGGGAACGTGACAGGTTGCAATGCTGAGTGTATCGATCTTGATGTACCGTGCCGAGGGCTGTGCTGTGCTGCGCCGTGCTGAACTGCGATGTGCCATGCCGCGATTGTGGTCTGTAGCGTTGTGGATCGAGTCCTCCTTTGCGTCCGAGTCCTGACCGAACTGATCTGGGTCGTAAGCTCGAGCTGCCTCAGCATATAGTAGCTGCCCTCGAGCTGATTGGCAGGGGAACATGCCAGGAGGACGCGCCGCGGACCGTCCCAAGGGACGCGCCAGGCGACGTCCCAGGGAATATGCCATCGGGACGCACTGCCGGACGTGCCAAGGGGACGCGCTACGGAACGTGCCAATGGACGTGCCACGGGACGCGCTCCCAGGGCCACGATCCCTCGTAAATTACGCTGCGTCCGCGCTCCCAGGGCCACGATCCCTCGTAAATTACATTGGGGTCGCGCTCCCAGGGCCCCGACCCCTTGTAAATTACACTGCGTCCGCGCTCCCAGGGCCACGATCCCTCGTAAATCACGCTGCGTCCGAGCCCCCAGGGCCCCGATCCCTCATCTTCTACGCTGCGCCCGCGCTCCAAGGGCTACGATCCCTCGGAAATTACATTGCGTCCGAGCTCCCAAGGCCCCGACCCCTCGTAAATTACGCTGCGCCCGCGCTCCGAGGGCGATCCCTCGCAAATTACGCGTGGTCCGAGCTCCAAGGGCTACGATCACTCGTAAATTACACCGCGTCCGCGCTCCCAGGGCCTCCTGGGGCATGCTGGGGCACCCAGGCCCCTCAAGTTTTGCCAAACAAGCGTTTCGCTCGAGACATCCTCGATTTTTGGCGCGGGGGGCGCACCATCCTCGAGCGGGCACGCAAAAACTCAACATGTTCATGCAAAATCCTAAAAAAAACAATGAATTAGTCGAGACATCATCGAAATTCCTGCGCGCGGGACGCGGCACGCGCGAGACATCCTCGGAATTCCTGCGTGCGGGGCGCTTTTCCGCGACGCGGTCGGGGCTCCAGATATTTTTGTTTGAGGATTCTGCTAAAAGTACCCCGCACCTCTTTTTTTACGAAGGAAAACGGAAGCCCGCGGACCCCGTTATTTATCAAAGATCCGAGATGGTGGGTCGACTTTCCTCGAGCGGGCACCCGCGAAACGCATGTGTTTCACGCCGAATTTGACTTTACCTCGTCTCTTATCGAGAATAATTCCGCCGGCCCCCTTCAAGTCGAAACCGGGGGGTAAACCTAACTGAAAGAGAACCCTGGGCCCACGCCCTTTCCGGGAAAACATGATCGACCCACGAACCCGGAAAGGAATATAGAAATGTAAGGCATGGCAACGTTTCAAAGACACCTGATTGGGCGACGGGCAAATGCAATGCTGAATGTATCGATTTTGATGTACCGTGCCGAAGGCTGTGCTGTGCTGCGCCGTGCTGATGCTGAACTGCGATGTGCCATGCCGCGAATGTGCTCTATAGCGTTGTGGATCGAGTCCTCCTTTGCACCCGAGTCCTGACCGAACTGATCTGGATCTTAAGCTCGAGCTGCCTCAGCACATAGTAGCTGCCCCAGAGCTAATTGACAGGGGAACATGCCAGGAGGACGCGCCGCGGAACGTCCCAAGGGACGCGCCAGGCGACGTGCCAAGGGACGTGCCACGAAGACGCACCGCGGGACGTGCCGAGGGGACGCGCTACGGAAAGTGCCAATGGACGTGCCAATGGACGTGCCAGGAGACGCGCCGCGCGACGTGCCAGGGGGACTCGCCACAGGACGCGCCACGGAACGTGCCAGGTTGCAATGCTGAGTGTATCGATCTTGATGTACCGTGCCGAGGCCTGTGCTGTGCTGCGCCGTGCTGAATTGCGATGTGCCATGCCGCGATTGTGCTCTATAGCGTTGTGGATCGAGTCCTCCTTTGCACCCGAGTTCTGACCGAACTGATCTGGATCTTAAGCTCGAGCTGCCTTAGCACATAGTAGCTGCCCCAGAGCTAATGGACAGGGGAACATGCCAGGAGGACGCGCCGCGGAACGTCCCAAGGGACGCGCCAGGCGACGTGCCAGGGGACGTGCTACGGGGACGCACCGCGGGACGTGCCGAGGGGACGCGCTACGGAACGTGCCAATGGACGTGCTCCGCGCGACGTGCCAGGGGGACTCGCCACGGGACGCTCCGCGGAACGTGCCAGGCAACATGCCAGACTGCAATGCTAGGGGTATCGATATTGATGTACCGTGCCGAGGGCTGTGCTGTGCCTGGGCGACCTGGACACGTGAAAACACGCGTTTCGCTCAAGACGTTCTCAGCACATCCTCATGCTAGACATCCGCCTGGGCAACCTGGACACGTGCAAACAAGCGTCTCGATCGAGACTTTCTCGACACATCCTCATGCTAGACATCTGCCTGGGCGACCTGGACACGTGAAAACCAGCCTCTGGTTCGAGACATCCTCAACAAATCCTCACGCTAGACACCTGTCTGGGCAACCTGGAGGCGTGAAACCAAGCGTCTCGCTCGAGACATCCTCAAGACCTGGGCACGTGAAAACAAGCATTTCACTTGAGATATCCTCTGAATTCAGGTCCCCAGGAGAGGACAAGCTATAACACAAGACAAGCGTTTCGCTCGAGATATCCTCAACAAATTCTGAGAAAAACATGCTGGCCTGGAAACGTGAGAACACGTGGTTCCAGCTCGGGACCACCATGTTAGATACCCCCCTGGGTGGCCTGAACACGTAAAAACACACGGTTCCAGCGCGGGACCACCATGTCAGATACCCCCCTGGGTGGCCTGAACACGTGAAAACACGTGGTTCCAGCTCGGGACCACCATGTTAGATACCCCCACTGTGTGGCGTGGACACGTGGAAACACGTGGTTCCAGCTCGGGACCACATGCAAATTCACACTTTACCACGTACTTTATCGCAGAATGATTCCGCTGGCCATCTTCCCGCACGTAATTCATCGCAGAACAATTCCGCTGGCCCCCTTCAAGTCAAAACCGGGGGGGAAACCAACTAAAAGAGAACCCTGGACCCACGCCCTTTCCGGAGAAAAATGCAACGCCAGGATCTCAGGGGACACGCCCCCGCACGCCCTCCACTGCCCCCCCCCCCGCGCAGAGCCGCCCTGCACCCGCGGGGGGGCCGCGGCCGAGGAGCCCAAGGGCCGCGACTGCCCGCCCTCGCCGTGGGCCTCCGAGAGGGGGCAGGGCGCGAGGGAGGGGCCACGACTCTCCCGCCCCGGTGCCCACCGCCGCCTGCACTGCCGCCCTCGGCGCGGCAGGCGCTGGCGTCGCCCACGCCCAGCAGCTCGTCGCCCTCCAGCGAGGGGTCCTCGCCAGGGATCACCAGCATCGTCAGGGCACCGCCGCCAGGGGCCTCGGGCCAGGGGACCCGGGGGCGTCCAGGAAGTGAGGGGAATGCGAGGAGGAAGAAGGAGGCGGAGCGACCGAGCGAACGAACGACGCGCTCCATCGCCTGGAGGCCGTCCCTGGACGGGTGGCGCGAAACGGCTCAGCTCAGCGCTCGGCGCCCTCAGTTCAGGTACACGTCGGTGCTTTCCAGCCGACGACGGATGTGGCGGAGCAAGAGGCGGAGGAGGAGGGGGGACGAGGAGGAGGAGGCGGAGGAGGAGGCGGAGGAGGAGGCGGGGAAAGGGAGAAGGGGAGTGTGGGGGCGGAGGAAGGGAAGCAGGGCGAGGAGATTTAGGGGTGCGTGTGACCTTTTCTCCCCTCCCATGCGGCCCTCAGGAACATAATAGGGAGGCGATATTGCGGGTGCGGGCAGGAGAGTTGTTTGCGGAAGCCAGGGACCACAGGTGGAGATTGGCAGCACCCCTTCGGAGTATAGTGCGCGTGGCTTCTTTTTGGTCGTGTGTTTGGCACGGCCCAACAGGGACCTGCAGAGACCGCAGAGGAGAAAACGGGAAGGGGAGAACGAGGAGGAGAAGTGTTTCAAAAACGCTGAAACGTGGATATGGAATCACCCGAGCCCATTTTGCGCGGTATCATTCGACCTTCCCTTTGCCGACTCACACATGGCGGAAGCAGAGGGACTGGGACTACGGCCAGGATAGGCCTTCCGAGTGTCGCGCGCCCTCTGGCCAGTCTGGGCTAGGAGGCTCACCCGCACAGAGGGAAGGCGGTGGAGGCGGAGGGTGGGAGTATATAGGGCAAGGTCCCGATGACCGAGGTAAGAGTCAAGGGCGAGCGGCGGCGGCGAGGGGTCGGGGGGGGGCGGAGGCGGGGCGGCGCCTGGCAGCGCCCACCGCCACGTCCGAGTTGAACGCGGCACGGCGGGCCGCGGCCGCGGCGCTCTCCCCTCTTTGCCCGCACCCTCTCTCCCTCCTCTCCTGCCGCTCCCTACCCCAAACGCACGATCCAGGCAGGAGCCCTCGACCTATTCGACTGAGGTTCTGCGCTCCCGCCTTGGCTAACTTATACGAGCATTCGGTTGCCAGTTCTCTCAACTGGCTGGTAGAGTAACTCCCACAAACAGTACAAAAGAGCACATCCTGGTCGGGCCAGAAACAGAGCTGGTGAGAGCTGTGCACCTCCCTCGAGCGGACACACACGGCCTCCGTGGGCCGAAACACCGCCCCCGTCCAGGACATCGGGTGGCAGGGGGTCCCGAGGAAGGCCGTCAGCTCACTGGCTTTGGCACGACACCCACACTGACGGCACTGACCGAAATCACCCGCGATCTGCGGGCACCTATGAGCTGAATTCAACGCTGCCACTCTGAGCAATTTCGAGCGAGTATTGCGCACACGAGTCTTAGGCGGACGAGGGGGCCTCTTGCCCTCCTTATCCATCACATCATTCATGACACTGAGAAGGTGGTTCTGAACCTTACGCGTGACAGCGTCGGCCATTCTAACAGCCGCACTTACAGCAAAAGGCACTCTGACTTCCTTCTCAAACTCACCCGCAATGTGGTCGGCAATGGCGTTAGCCAACACAAAACTGGGGTTGAGACCTCTCTCCCCAGCCTCTTGGACGGACAAGTGGCTGGGCACACGGACAAGGTACAAATCCCTAACGCGAAGCAGCTCGTGCACACGGGCCCACAAGTCGCGGTGGCTCGACACGCGGGCCCCCAGACCAGCAGCGATCCGAGCAACCCCTCTAGACACGTAGGCCGAATCGGCAATATAACCGAGCTGGGCACCAACTGGGCTCTGCTCCAAAAACTTCAGAAGGGCCCAGAGCTCCCCCCGATTGACACTTTGCCTGCCAGTGATGCCGCCTCCCGCAAGAAAGGCCAGGCTGGATGCGGCATTCACCTGGGGGAGCTCTTCTAAACTGAGCCCAAAAATCGCGACGCCCCAAGACACCCTCCTGAGCCTACGGTCCCGCGAGAACTCCCCCCCACTAGCGTCCCCCGCACCCCAGATGCGACGCCCCTCCACATGGGGAAAGGCACCTGACGCCGCAGAGAGAGGCGAATCGGGAGGAGGGGGAACGTGAGTCCAGGATTTGGGTGTGAGGCCGCGGAGCCAAAGCACAGGACACTCTTCGGCCGCTGCAACCCCTCGTCTGGCGAGGGCCTCAGAGATTTCCTGGAACTCAGCATTGCACGGACACTCCCAAAATCTGTGAACATCGGTCTCGGGACTGAGACCGCATCTGGGGCAAACTTCGGAGCAATCCCCTCCAGCACTGACAATGCGAGAGCGGGTCCAAACAGCACCAGTGAGAATAGCTCTGAGCAGGCCGGCCTGCTTGACATCTTTTTTGCGCAGGCGAGCAAGATGACGACGCGCAACAGTGAAATCGATGCCCGACTCCGAGCCACCCCCGTTGCGGAACTTGGAAGCACCAGCCCACAACTGGGCTTCAATTGACTCCGCAACAGACTGTTTGAAATCGGATGTCATATAAGCCTCAGTACGGAGCTCGTCAGGGAGAGCATACTCTTCACCCGACGGAGCAGTCCAGTGCCAAGGCCCATCCAGCTGCCACCCGAGTCCCAGCATCGTGGCGACGATGGCCGAGATAGGCCCTCGAATGTTGTGCCACCGACGCCGAGGTCCCAGGTCCCGAATTCGATGAACCGTCTCTCTCCAGCAGCTGTGCAGACGAGGGAGGGCCTGCACCGAGACCCTGGACACAATTTGAAACCAAGAGTCCAGAAGCGAAAAGACCGAGCAGAAAGCGGGATCCTTGGGGCCCACCTCCAACGCCAAAATCGAAGTGAGGCACCTACCTACATTCCCTCGCACAAGGGTGCTCGCCAGGGCCCGACGCCACTGCAAGAGCACCGAGGGGGCAACACCAAAAACTTTCCACGCATACGAGGCTTGGGGGAGGGCTCCCGTGAGAACAAGCTTAGGCCCCACCTTACGCGGGGCAACTCGGGCCAGCTTATTGATGCGATTCACACGCCGATGCGCCTGGGCAATGCGCCTGGAGTGGCGAGGCTTGGAAATCTTCGCTCCACTCCCGCGCTCAATGCCCAGATCGGCGGCGACCGACGCGACCTCGACGACGATTCCCTGCGCACCTAAGCCTGCCTGGATCTCGCGAGCAACAGCAAGATCAGACGCAATGATGGTGGATTTAGAAGCCAGCTTGAGACCTTCCTGAGCACACCCACGAGCAAAGGTGATTCCCGCACGCACGAGGTGACCCACAACATCGCGGCGAATCCCCTCCGCTCTCTGGGTAACGTCGTCAATCCAAGTCCGCAACTGTACCAACGAACTCGAATCGGCCGACATTTCACAGATCGAAAACATCTGACACTTGGCGAAATCTGGCGCACGCCTGGCTCCTGCAACAAGGCCCCCTGACGGGATGATTGGAGGCGCCACGCACCCAGCATCTTTCAAAATCCGAGGGCCCATGTGCAGGAGAGCTTCCAAGGAGAGGCACAAAGCAGGGAAGTCTAAATGGAGGGCATGGGCCACCACCTTTTCCCAGCGAATGGTATCATAAAAAGCTTCGACGTCCCACAGATTGGACGCAGAACAATACTCAGGCAGCACCGACGACAGAGCAGCCTCGTCAGCATAGCACCTGAGCAAAGCCTCCCGTAGAGCACTGTTCCCTCGAACCGCGGCGCCCCAAGGACCCGAGCGAGCCTCGGCCCAGACCTCCGCGGGACGAGATCGCATTCGGCTCCACAGTCGACCCAACCAGGTGAGAAGGCCGATGGCGCGATCCTTGCGCACATCAGGCTTTCGCAACAGAACAATGATGGCTGTGAGCCACTGCCATGGCCAAGCCACGGCGAGCTCGACCTGCTGAAAAAGAGACACCAGCTGCTGGCGGCCCGCCTCAGGCAGCCACCAAACATCCCGTTGGCGAACACCATCGATGCCTGACGCCTTGGACGGCGAGACTGCGAGCAATGCCGCCTCGAGGCCGTCCAGCGTCAGAGAAGGCAAGTCCTCCTCCCGCGCCAGGGCGCGCGCCTCCTGGAGCACCTTCATGGCGTCGGTGCTGCTGAAGTTCGGCGGCGACCAGAGCTTGTCCCAGACCGCCCGCTTCGCCTCCATGAGCGAGGCGCCGTCGCAAGTAGTGACCTCCACATAGCGAATCTCACTGACCTCCGCCATCGGGTCCTTCACGAGGCGGTGGAGGGCCCCCATGCCGTTGATCGCGTGCTGGCAGACCCAGTCGCGGTAGCCCTGCAGACGCTGCCTGGCCACCGCGCGCTGCGCCTGATGAGCGGCTCTACTTGCCGCCCCCGCCAGTTTGGCCAAGGACTCGCTCGTGATGCCCGACAGAGTGCGGAGCGAGCGAACCCACCTGGCGCGCCTACGCTCAGGCAGCGGAACGATCTGGCAGACAGGAATGGACGAGGCCAGGGCCGAGAGCCGTCCTCTGAGATGCTGCGCTCGAGGCAGGCCTTCTGATCCAGATCTGACGTGGGCAAGCTCGTTCAGGTGGCTGGCAACCGTGGACCACCATCGCGAACTGGCGTCAGACGTAGTAGGCCACGGCTTACCACCATCCATTGGTTGCTTGACTGGCTCCTGCAACTTGCCCCTGCCCATGAACTGGCGACGCTCCTGAGGGTGCACCTGATACAGCTCACAATAATACAACTCCATGGTGCGCGACCACTCAGAGAAAGCCTCACCGAGCCGACGGGCAGCAGCAGGGTCGGCCTGGAAACCAAGGCTCTGTTCGACGAAAGCTGGAGGATCCGATCTTCTTGCCGCCTGCTCCGAAAGACTGTGCCACAACAAATCCTTCGCCGAACTAGTCCAATCACACTGCAAACTGGCATTGGTGGATTCCTCAACCTCGGGCACCTCCTCGATCTCCTCCAAGATCGGAGCATCCTCAGGCGGGGCCTCAGTGTCGTCTTCTTCATTGTCGGTCCAGAAATCCTCTTCCTCAAATTCCAGATGAACATACTGCAGAACA